ACTTCTTCTATCAATGTTCCTTAGAACCACTTCAACTAACTGTGCAATGAGTTTTAAGGATACTTTCTAGGCACACGTAGCACACTCCACTGCAATTGGATTGTGTTGAAAATTTCCAAGGAGAACAGTTTTCCTTGGTTTTTACTGCATCAAATATAGACCATACTTACTTTCAGTTACCTCTAAATTACTAAAAGTAAAAGTTTATTTCTCTTAAATTGGATTGTAGGGTAGTATAGACAGACGTGTAAGAGCAACCACAAATAAACACAGAGTATATGGGAATTTAAGGCAAGGTACTTAAAACTTGACAACAGGAGTTAACTTCATGTTCCCACATTTCTAACAATCAACAGTTGAATTTTGACAAAGTCACCAAATCATACTTTTTCTCAATGCAAACTTGGGGTCACAAACCAAACACAAGAAGTTAAAGTTGAGGTGCACATGGTGTTAACTTCAGGCCTGTAAAATCAATATTGGTTTGAAAATGGAGTGATTGGGTAGACTCCTAGAGCAAGTGATCCTCTGATTTGCAGGAGCTGTCTCATCCTTTCACGGACCTTTCAAGGACCAGTTGGGAACATACCTCTCTTAGTATGAATCTACTTTAAACCAAGCAGATCTTCCTAAACAGAAACAATTCTCTGAATTTCTGCTCGACATTTGGCCAAATGAATTGTCACTGTCTACAATCTCTGCACTCTGGGGATCTTAACATAAGCCCTCCTGACTACACCATTGTCAGAGCAGATAAATGGTGGTACATTGACTAAAAACTCTCCAAGAACGATATTTAACAGAAAGACATTTGATAAAACTACAATAATAACACTTTAAATCACCAACATGTGCTTCAAGGGATGTGTGTGACTGGCCTTTTTGTTACCTGTTGGATTTCTTCTACCGAGAATTGTGAGTTGCTCTTTGTAGAGAGGTAAGAACTCAGTAGACTTATATTGAATTTAAGAATCAAGGGCTTAGAGAATAAAGACAGGTTGTTATATACAGAAGCAAAAATACAGAAATACAAACGTAAATTGAAACTTCAGGCATTTTTGTGTTAAAGACTTTTTAAAATGACACTATGGTGAACATAAATTTTTGACATTAAATTATTTGACCATCTTAAAAGGAAATGTAGCCATTTGAACAATTACATTGCCACAAAGCTTTCTACCTCTTCATATAAATATTCCCAGTTCTCTTTTTATACAGGATATTTAATAATATAATATGCTACATAATGTTATATTTGCTTTATTAGTAAGTTACAGAACTATTTTTGACTGTCTTCCATGAAATAGAAAAGGCAGATGCTAATGTTGATACTTCTGAGCAAAATAATTTAGACTCAGAGGTACTAAATCCCATATAAAAATAGACCCCACTAAACTTTAAATTTCTGGTCATAAAGAAAATAATAATAATTAAGTTAAAAATAAACAGCAGCAATAGTACAACTAACATCCAGCTACTCTTCAAAGACATTTAATTTTATGTTTCCTATTCTGTTTCTGTTAATTTTTATCAATGAAACTATGAAGCTTCCTATAGCTTTAATTTCATTTTTCAGATACAAATACAAAGGACTGCTGAAATTGGACAACTTTCACTCTATCTATCTATCTATCTATCTATCTATCTATCTATCTATCTTCTATCTATATGTATCTCCAGCAACCATGAAGGTAGGATTCAAGCCTACACTTCATTTTGTTTGTTTGTTTGTTTGTTGAGACAGGGTCTCACTATGTAGCCCTGGCTGGCCTGGAACTCAGCTGTGTAGACCAGGCTGGCCTCAAACTCACAGAGATCCAGCCTTCTGAGTGTCTTATTAAGGGCAAGTGCCTCCAAGTCTATGCTCCTCACACTAGGTCTTACTTCAGAATGCCTGGAGACCCATCAATTCACTTTCAGTCCTATGCTTTCCCATCATTGTTATGACTGTGTATATTGAAATGATGCATAAAACATACTGTTAAATATCTCTTTCTCATCTTAGTATAAATAGGAATTTTCTGCTTTAGAAGTTGCATATGCACAGTCAGCGTATTTTTTTTTTTACCATTAATGATAGTGGGCTACTGTCTTCTAAGATTGCCTATACTGTGCCATGACAATTAGTAATAAATCGACTATTTTAGAGATTGCCCATCATGGTAAGATTCACAAGCCAACTCAATGTCCATGATAGCTAACTGTTTGCTGAAACATATATGCAAACATACACACATGCACACATGCAAGCACACACACACACACACACACACACACACACACACACACAAACACGGAATTTACCCTACACATGCACACATGCAAGCACACACACACACACACACACACACACACACAAACACGGAATTTACCTTAGCAACTGCACAAAATTCCCAGCACACGACTATGTTTCTTCTAAGTGAGCTGGTAGTAAATGAGTTCAATTTAATAGCAAGGTTTAGAGCACCACACTCTATGGACTCCCCTTTGTAGTTTAAAGCTTTCACAGAATATTATTTATCATACAACTGCATCCTAAGATATGTCCACGACATATGCTAGAGTACCAGCCACTTCACAGACAGTATGCATGAATTTTATGTAAGTTTTAGTAGTTTCTTGGTGGTTGGAGTGTCAGCAGTTACCCTAGCAAAGCGGGAGACCAGTGATCAATTCATTCTATCATTCAAGTGCCTTCTCCCTAAAAATACAACACTGAGTGTCTGTTGTTTATGCTGAACTTTACTTCAGGATATTTGATATTTCAAGTTACTGAACAAGCTTGTAAGTTGATGACCAGAAGTCCCCATTTGTTAGTGGTTGGATACTTGGTAGTTTGTTAAAAGGGAAAGGACAGGAGATGAAAAGGAAAAAGTTTAATTCTCTTCACACACAAAGTTTTGTTTAGTTTCTTGCTCCTTCGATATTTTATATTGAGTGTTGGGCTTGACTGACACAAGAAACACACTGTAAAAGGCAGGTTTCCTCTGAGCTAAAGCTGGTTTTCTGTGCTGAACTCTCCATTTAAAAGTATGTGTAGGTCCTTAGGTACATAGAGGACGTTACTGCCCATGGCAAACACAGGTCACACAGAGCATTAGGAGGGAGAAACTTGTGCTGCAAATTTCACTTCATGCACTCTCGCTCTCATTTAAAGGAAACAAACCTCATTATCTTGTAGCATGTATTTTAAGGTCAGTGAGTCAGGTTGGTTTTTGTCACTTTGAAAGCTGCTTTCAAATGATTGGTTATAACTGCTTAGGGTTTGAATAAATACTCAGACTTGTGAACAAATACATCTTAAAGCATTCTTTTCCACCCCTGCCCTTTAATTGTTTAAGAGCTTGGTCATGTAAGAAGGGAAAGTGACACATTAAGTGTGTTGTGCAGCGGAGTGAGGGTTATTGGCTGACATGACTATTTTCGGCATCTCTAAATCTGTCTTTTTCAAAATTAATAACACAAAGAAAACATCAATCACATTAATAAGCACTGGAGATTGTAACATATGCTTGTTACTTTGTACTGTTCACAAGTTGTTGTTTTACTAAACTAAGCACATTTGATTGCATCCAGAAGTCCAAGATTGATCTTTACTCAGGTAAAGGTTTTTCAGTTAAAAGTAGTCATGATTCCTAAATAATACTTTGACTATGTATTACTCCAGAGAGTAAACTGCCCAATAAATGCATATTGTCTTTCTCTATAATCTAGAGAAAGTATGAAAGGTTAGGATTGGGAATTTTTTTTCTTTCCTTGAGAACTGGACCCCACATACCTAGAGAAAATGCCACAAAATGTCTTTTATTTGGGGGTGATAAAAGCATGTTCAGTGATAAAAGCAACCAGAAAACACTAGATTCTGATTTTTGAAGGTCAGAATTAGTGGAGTTACTGAGAAACCTGAGATGCTCAGGACCCTGGCTGTGAAGTGCTTAGCAAAGTCTTTTTTCATTCTGTCAGTTCCTAGGAAGAGTGAGAGTTAGAAGCCTCAGGGTTCTGGGCTTCAGTTTTGCTAAGTGGAGGTGGGGGATGTTAGGAGACCTACATGGCATCAACACCTCACCTGTGGCTCTCCCTATGACTGTCTCTGAGAAAGTACAGAACCTGGCATTAGTTTGAAAGGAAAGGTTTAGAGCTTCCCCAACACTCAGAGCCTGAAAACTGCTCAGAGCCACCACAGGACAAATCACTGTAGTAGGGGCTGTTGGGTCCCAGTACAGGAGTCCACAGTGGCCTTCAGTGAGTAATGTTTACCTTTAGTTTTCTCTGTGCCACCCCGGGCTCTGTTTAATGTCTTTGGATATCAAAGCTTAGACTCTTCCCAGGGAATTACTTGGATTGGGTTTTAGGATGATATTGAGTGATTGGTGGGTAGGTAAGAGTGTAAGTTTAGTGTTTTGACTGTGCCCCCAGCTCCTTGCACCTTCAGCCCTCTCCTCTGAACACCTCCAGACTTTGTAGATTCGGTGCAGAAGATCACAATAGAGATGCAAACTTAGTGGCTTTAGGCTTACAGACTCTGGCATGATCTCATGGTTCTAGTGACTGGGGTATGCTACTCCTGAGATTCTGACTTGCTTGTGTGTATCATGGACTACTGGAGTGGTGGGCATTCACTAAGTCCAGTGGTAGATCTCATCCTGGCGCACAACTCAAGTGCCACAGCTGCGCGCGACCTCAAGCCTGGGGTAGGAGCCAGCCCAAGTGAGCCTGGATCCCCACACTATAGCTGGCATTCTTGGAGCCCAGATTGAAAAAAACCACCACCCATACCTCCAGGGGAAGCCCCCGGCACCCGCCCCGAGGGAAGCAGGGACGCGACTTTGACTTTGTGTCAGAGCCTCTGGTCTGCACTGACCTCCACCACCCTCAGCTTCTGTCCCCACGTCAGAGCGCGCTGCCTTGCCCCGGACTCACTCACAGCACCCTTGCAGACCCCAGGAAGCGAACACGATCCCCGGAACCTGCAGCCTGAAGCGCTTTCGGGGCTCACTCACCGATCCTGAGTACTTGTGGGGAAGTCTGAGGGAGGATGTAGCAGAGGAAATAGAGGAGTGTCCAGCTGGTGTCCCTGGTCCAAAGCCCGGGCTGGTCAAGGACTGTGCGGCGCTCCATCTTCCAAGCGTCTTAATTCATGTCGAGACACAGTAGTGGCAGCACGTCCGAGAGATGCACCCCACTTGGGCTGGGTCCCTGCCTCATTCTCCCTGGATGCTCCCGGTCTGCACCCGGAGCGCTTTCCGCGGAGCTAGCTGGAGAGAACCGGCGTGGGAACGCGGAGCTGGCTTGCAAGGCTGAGTTGCTGGGGGTTCTCGCTCAGGTCGTTAGCCCATCACTGCTGGTCCTCCATGAGCCGCAGACCGCGGAGGATGAGCACACTCCAGCTTCCGGAGCCCAGAGATGAGCTGAGGAAAGTTGTTACCTCAATTTGCTGGAACGTCTCTCTCATTCGTCCTCTGATCGATGCGAAAGTGTGTGTGTGTGTGTGTGTGTGTGTGTGTGTGTGTGTGTGTTTTGGGGTTGAGAGTGCAGAATGGGAAGGACAGGAAAGGCGAGAAGAAGACAACCAAGGAGAGGGAACTGGTGGAGTTGATGCAGCGCTCTGAGCAAGCCGGATGAGCTCCAGCAGGTTAACTGGGATCCTGGCCACACTCCGGCTTCTGTCTCAGTGGCGGTTTCCCTCCTCCCCTCCTAGCCCCACCCTTTACTTACTGCCCGCCCCAACCCCTCTAATCCAGACACCCTCACACAGGAGCGCGCGTGTACACACACACACACATACACACACGCACGCACACACACAACCACATTCACGCGCGCACGCGCGCGCACACACACACACACACACACACACACACACACACACAGAGGCACGCTCCCTCTCCCACAACTTTGAGCTGTGCTGCTGGGTTAAATCTTGTATCCTCAAGACAAATCAAATCTAGACTTCTGGTCCCTAGGCAGAGGCAGCTTGGCTATCCACTGTGAATGACAGCCTAGTGGGCCTGTTAGGGAGTTTTAGTGATGCCTGACTGTGGCCTGTCCTAGCGCTTGATGAGAATCCACCTTCTTGGAGGCAATACTTCAGAAGGTATCAGAGTTCCCGTTTTAACTCTGACAGGGATGAAGAAAAGGAAAAGGAGGAGAAGGAGAGAAAGGGACACCTTTCAGTCTTCCAAGATGATAGCGACTCTTTTCCTGTTTGAACCTGAGATAATGTCTTGAAAACTGGTTCCATTTGCAAGTGCAGAACTGAGAAGGAAGCAGCTTCGGGCGCGCGGCTTTTCTTAATTTCTTTCGACTATCACACTTGAACACTGGAAATAGGCTATTTTAACAATGTAGGTTTGGAAACTATTTCTCTGCAGAAGGACAAGGACACTTCCCTGGGGAAATCAGCAGTTGATCATGTTGGCTTAATTTTTTTTGAGTTTTGTGGGGACTGTTCTATATAAATGCTGATTCTGTATGAATATCTCATAGACATTTCCCCTCAAGTAAGGATTTGGGAAAGCTGATCTAAATTGAATTAATTCATAAGAAAAACATCCATAGATATATAGTTATATGAGCCTAGAATGGGAAATAATTACAAAAAGAATGCATCTTAAGGTGTATTCAACAAATATATCTTGTATATGCTGACATTGCTTCTCCCTGAAAATTCTATCATGAGGAAAACACACCCTCAATCCTCCTAGGAGGCTGTGATATCACTGATGGAAGCTAATAGGTCAAGTGGTGTGTGTGGTTCTTGATAATCCAGGATGAGAGATGGAGAAGTAGAACATACACTCAGCTAAGAAGAGGTATTTGTATGGATTTGGGGACGGATCTTATCAATGGAAAGAAGGAACAAAAATGAGGATATATGTGGCTATCTGTGGAAATGTGAAGCTTCTGTCTTAAAGGAGGCTTGCTCAATGTTACTCAAATGAGGAAAAAAATCAAAGTAAGAATGTTGAATGAAAATTGGAGAAAAGTAAACTTTAACTTATTTTAGACTATTTCTAAAACCAGACAGAATCAAACAATGACACGATCTGACTCAGAAAATAGCTACAATCTTCATCCATCCATCCACCCATCCATCCATCCATCCACTCATCCATCCAGTCAGTCACCTAGTCAGTCTTCCATCTAGCTATCCATACAATACATATTTATTGAGCGCCTAATTCCTGTGAGACATTGTGTTAAGCTTTGGACATACTACAGGATTATGGTTGTTGCCATCATGAAATCCATAGCATTAAAGAACTGTGGGGGTGCAGTTCAGTGACAGAGCTTCTGCTTAGCAGGTACAAAGCCCTGGGTTCACTTGAAAAGTGAAGAAAAGAAATGTTGGATTCACCAACATTTGAAACAATGTAATTGATTATGGGAATTCATATGATCAGTGTGAAGCAAAGGAGGGATTTAACATCATTTAGCGAGTTTGTGAAGGCTTGTGTGATAGTGATACTTCAAATCTCAACAAGTAGGTGATAAAAGACATTAATATTTCCTAAAGTGGGAATAAATACAAAAACTATTGGTCTATTGTTAAACACAATAAGTACATTTAATCATCTGTCTTTTCTTGGGACAGCCAAAGCCAAGGATCAGTAGATAAGGTAGTGCATTGCAGTGCTTGAAGTTCCAAGGGCTAGAATCAAGTTTGTTTCTGAGCAAACTCTAAATAATGTTTGTTAAGCCATTTTCCTGTTTTTTATTTAGGATTTGTGTGTGTGTGTGTGTGTGTGTGTGTGTGTGTGTGTGTGTGTGTATCTAGTTGATTGTGGGTGCTTATTCATATGTAATTTTCATCTTCCCTTGGCCACCACAGACTGTAGGTTTTCTGTGAGGAAGAATCATGTGACTTTATAGACAAGTCAGTGTATGTGAAGTGGCATATAGTCCACGTGAAGGTGAAAAAGAAGGTAGGAAAGGGACCCTCATGGTCCTCCAAGATCTCCTCTTCTTCCAGAGTAACTCAGATAACCAAAAGTTCTGGATACCCAGATCGAAGCTACTGAATCCCAGAGTGACTTTTTGTAGGAAAGGTATTCTGAGCAGTCGTAAAGAAGTGGCAACTCACCATTTTTTTCATGTTATGTAATTATAAAATATTTGTTATTCTGCATAACCTAGTCAATATGTAAACTCTCCAAGTCTGTGGGATGAAATATGAAACATATAATATATCACAACAAAAAGGACTACTGAAGCATTAGATGAGCTATTGTGTATGAACAACTTTCCAAAGCCTTTATTACTCTCTACATGTCAGTTCATTTGTGCCAGGCACATTTTGGTTAAGTGAGTCCATGCCTATATTTCTAGTGTAAATATGCCCCAGATGATGGTGACCGACGCTTTGTCTGTTGCAACATAAAGTGACAATACTGTTCCAATTAATAGTATGATGATAGTTCCTGGTCCATTTGAACTATTATTATTTCAAGAAATTATGCTACTTTTCATGTGCATAGTTCATGTGAATAGTTCCTGTTGTGTTAGACAGAAGCTTCACTTTCTGTATTAGGCATCTTAAAGAATACATGGCACAGAAGTTACTTTTCAGTATCATCTATAGGATTTCATAAAGCTTAACACTGCAATTTATCTCCTTGTTAAAATGCTTCTCTCCACTGCTCATGCACACAGGCTTGCAGTGCTGAGTTCCTCATGAGCGATCATCAGCTGTTGCTAATTTGTGCTACGCTTTTCAGAAGTGCTATATTTTCAGGCGGGCATGCATCTAGTTACTTTTTTGTCCAAAATGTATGATAATCTCTGTTGATTCACAATTTTTAACAGTGCCCTCTTAAGAGTAAAGCTGTCCAGTTTTTTGGAGACAGGGCCCTGGAACCCTACTCAGCTGGCCTGAAACCCATTATGTAGACCAGGCTAATCTTGATCTCACAAAGATCCATCTGCCTCTGTCTCCAAAGTGCTAAGATTAAAGGCATGTACCACCATACATAGCCATTCTGAAATCTTAAGCTTAAATTCATACACCATATCTGGTAACAAAGCAATTAATGGCACGTAGCGTTCTACAAGCCTAGGAGGATTGGTGGCATGGTTTAAATACCAATCTACTTAAAATACTGAATTTTTAGAAGATAACTACATACAAAGCAGAATAACATACAGTAAACTAAGGAAAAATGTTCTGTTTTCTAAACGTGGTGAGTACACTTGAAGGTACTTACAATATTGCTCAGGTCACTCACAGCAAAAGATCAAGCAGCTTTTGTAGTCCCCTAGGAATGTGTGATTGAATTAGGATTAAAGCCCTGATTTTTTTGCTATATCTTTATACTTTTTTGTATGATGACATCATGCATTTTTATGAGGTTAAATATTTTTTAAGCCAAGGATTTTCAAATCTTGTCTTTTGCTCAAATCTTTTCTGTAACCTTCAGATGCATGAAGGCAACTCCAGTCACTGTTTGTAAATGACAAGATAGCTCAACTCATTTCAAAATGAGGCAGCCTTCCATCTAGTTACCAAAACTGAAAACTTGGGAGGGCACTGTTGATTTGCCCATATTTTTCCTTTTCATGCACTGTTGATATAAGCTCATGTTGGTTAAGACATGACTTTAATCTTCTTTAGTGGTGACCTACTGCTATCACAGGAGCCTAAGCCTTCTCAGCTCCAAAACCTTGAACATTTTGTACCAGAAACTCATAACTGTGGAAACTGCCCTGTGCATTTCTAATGTTCAGCAACTTCCCTGAATCTATCCACTAGATGTCAGTAGTACTTGTTCCCTAGTTGTGACAACCAACAATATCCACAGACAGGTATCAACAGACCATCTTATCTTCTGTATTTTTCCGTCTGTTTCACTACATATGTTAGGTGCTAGAGGGAATGAACACAGTTCTTGCTCTCACAGAGCTTATAGTCTGTACACAGCTTTTAAAAATATTTTATTTATTATTATTTTATGTGTATGAGTGCACTGCTTGCATGTATGTAAGTGTACCCATGTCGTTCAATGCCCATGGAGCTCAGAAGAGGGCGTCGGATCCCCTGAAAATGGAGCCACAGACAGTTGTTAGCTGTCATATGGGTGCTGGGAATTGAACCTGGATCTTCTTCAAGAGCAGTCAGTGCTTTTAACCACTGAGCCATCCCTCCAGCCTCTGTACACAGCTTCTTAAAATGTGGGTCCTGTAATTGAATGTGAAGTTTTTTACAAATTTGACAACAGTGAAAGGTTTCTGGAAACATAAATGTTCCGACTCAGAAAATCGCCCCTGGGTTTGGGAACTGCTACAATAGCCCTGGTCACTAGGACCTATCCATCCTATTACCTACACTCCAGATCCTCCCTGCCCTGGTCTGCCTTTCTATTTATTATGCCCATTTGACATAAACTAGCCCCTCCTATTGTTTTTCTGTATCATATTTGCCTCGTTACAACATGGCTATTAATTCTCTAGTCATTTTATTGTTTTATGTACTGAACTCTTTGCTAAAGTCTGTCACTGTGTCAAGCACTGTGGTGAATGCTGAGTGATAGCCCTGGACTGACTAGATGGATGAATGATGCTACCTCTTAAGCCATGCAACCTGCCATCCATATCTCCAAATGTGTAAGTGTGAGATGAATGAAAATTCATCAACTAAAATTCTTTTCATTTTATTCGCAACATATACACTCATCAGTTTAATAT